CCTACAATGTGTACGCCTATTGTACTGCCCCTTCCTGTGACGTGTGATTCTGTAATCATGTCCCCCTAAAGTGATATAATGTGTGGTCAGCAATAAAGAAAAGAGGCTCTCCCCAATTCCCGGGGCCCTCTCTGGCTCCTAGGCTAGGGGAGGCTCCCCGGTTTTCAGTCCCCGAGGTTGCTCCTGCTCTCGTGGCCGGGTTCCCCCATGAGGACCACCAAGCGGGACTGAGGTAAGCAACGCTAACTTGTAATGTGTCTGACTGTATTACTGTAATATCTCTCATGCACTCAATGACTTTAATATAATACTTATATATCTCAACCGTACAATTGTGCATTGCTGAACCCATGGGTAGTACTAGCAGTGGGTGGGGCTGGCCCCCCACCCTTATAACTTAATACTACACATCTCTACCCACAAGGAGTGAGATAGTAAAGTAACCAGAAACGCAGAGAAGAAACACGTCTACCCACAATTGCGTTTGCCCTGAGACGGGAAGAACTCGAGCGTGCCTGGCTAACCCCACATCCGATCTGATTGCTGTTTTCTTTATGTTGAGGGGTGATTCATACTGAAGGATGTCGTCTCTCGGGTTTTCATCAGTAAGTGCTTCAAATCCCCTCCACTCTTCAGCAAGCAAGCTTGTGTCATCTGCAGGTAGCAGGTTCTCCTCCAGCCCAGACACCACGGACTTCTTCACATAGCATGGCTGAAACGTCAACGGTTCTGTTGCCGCTACTTCACCACATACCCCAACAGTAATCAGCTGGGCGGGAAGAGGGCGGAGAGGCAAGGAAAGGACAAGAGAGGGAGGTGTTGAAGTTCACCTAGGCCAGCGAGGGCCCTGTACACACGGACAGGGCAGTGTGACCCCACCCCCCACCCCCCAAGGCTGTTCATCAGGGAGCCACTTGCTCTTGCTGAAGGGATTCCCAGTTGTGTTCCGTTCCCCACAGTCTTGCTTAAAGTCTTCTCTGCCTTCCCCCGCCCCAAAGGAAATGTCTCAATGTCTCCTCTACTAGATAGCACCCTTCGGGATAAGGATGGTGAGACTACAAATCACACACTTTGGACATGTGCTCAGGAGACACAAGTCCCTGGAGAAGGACATCCTGCTTCGGAAAGTAGAGGGTCAGC